ATTTAAAGTTCTTAGTCCGTTTTTAAAAATTATGTATTTAACACATTTTTTAAAATATTGTTAAGCACATTTCTTCAAAGAACTTGAACACAGCTGATGGGTAAAAGCAAAATCTTTTTAAATTACACTGTATTTACAATTGTTTTTTCAGGTACTACCTGGCAAGTCGAAGTGTTGTAAATGTAAAGGATAATTGGGTTTTAAGCATTTTGTAAACAGTTTTGGGCGTTGTTTCCTTCACTCAGGTTGTTGTAAGAATCTGGGTTACCTATCCTTTTATTTTGAGGTTTTTAATCGCTTTGGGACAAATTTTATTTGCCTTTCAAAATCTGCTTGGACTATGTGAGCTGTGTAAGTAGATAGTGCAAGTACTACTGATATGCGTATACTTTGTGAAGCTAGACCTTTATTAAAGACTGCAAAGAGTATGTCACTGATCAGGATATATGTGAGGTGATGAAGTTAGTTCTGAAAATCTCAAATGTAAAAATGCAATCAAAATTCATAGATTATCTATCACTGGACGGATAAGCAGATTTGGTTCCTGGGTCTGACCTAGGTGACTTGAAATGTATCACACAGATGGTTCATTACTGATGGCTGAATGGCTACATATTCTTCAATACTGTTAATGAGATTCTTTGAAATTTTGTGCTTTGAGATTCTCTTGGAATGTTGCTAGAAGAACTTTTAAGTATCTATACAGTATCCTACTTATATCCAAAGCTACCTGTGCTCACTCCATAGAGTAAGCATTCCTTGAGATTTTTCATAATGGGTAACTGTTGATAAAACTCCAGCAAAAGACTCTGCTTTGCATTATTCTGTTTAGCAAGTTTTCTGTGATGCTTCTCACATAAGGGGAGGACAGTCTCCATTTTTGCAGAGTCCAAAGCTGAATGCAATCAGCCAAGGAAATAGTTTTGAATATTAAAAAATCTTAATGCTGCTTATTAGTTTTATGTATTAAAAAGAATCCAAACAACCTCCCCCAAAAAATGTGCTACATGTTAACTTAATGCTATTGATGTTCTCAACTTATGCAGCAGAAAGAGAATCCCAGAGTTTAAATCTTGCTGATCTTAGATACTTCTGTTTGTTAAAAGTACGAGAGGAAAATTGCACAAATTTCTATTAACCTGTGTGATATTCTGTATTTTAAGCAATTTACCACATAGTGCCTCATCTTCAAAACTTTTTGCATGTGGTTATTGTGTTGGTTTTGCGTGGCAAGGTTTTGGTAGTGGGGGGGCTACAGGGGTGGCTTCTGTGAGGCAAAACCAACACAGTTATCTTCATGTCCTGAATAATGCTGATGTTCACAATGTACTAATAAAAGACATTTTGCCTTAATTAGTGTATTCTGTTCAGGCATTAATTTTTATAATAATATAGTTTCTAGGTATATCTTATATTAAGAATAATGGGATCCTGGCCTGTGTATTTGGAAAAACTCTGCTGCAGAGGAAGGGGATGAGCTGATAGAACTGCTGCCTTACTCTCCTTCTCTTTGTTTAAAAAACTAAAATTAAATAATAGCAATTTCTAACTCCTTCACAATGTAGACGCACAGTAATCACAGCACCTTCTGTGACCCTGCAGTTGCACTTCTGGTGCTGGTGTAATGCTTTATGCTGGATTTTTTCACCTTGTGTCTTTTCCAAATAATTTTGAAAGTTTTCCCACTTTACAGAACTGGTATTAACTGGAGTTTAGAAAATGGCATCCTTTTTTCATGCAAATATGTATATTTTTATTTGCTAATTTAAAACTCAGGCTAAATTAATTTCCTAGAGGAAATAACTGTGTTTTAAAATTATTTTCTGTAACCTACATAGACAGTTGGCTGCAGTTTGATCTAAATTTCTTTGGTCCTCTTTGACGTATTAGAGCATTTTCTATACCAGTTTGGCATTGTTGGTTTTGTTGTGATTACTAGAGCAGTATTATCTGGTATGTTCTTTGTTAGAATGCAAAATTGTCATTATGTTTTGGGAGGGTTTTTTTTTTGTTTGGTTGATTTTTTTTTTTTTTTTTTAATAGTGCACTGATTCTATAGTGAGATAGGCTAAACCCTTTGTAACAGTTGTTACCATGGCTTAACTAAGCCTCCTACAAAACTGGAAAGAAAACTCCTTCTCCCCTCACCCTCGATTTTTAACATTGCAGAAGACCTCAGGGTCAATTGTAATGACTAAAACTATTTTTATTACATTTTTTGGAAACTACTAAGTATTAATTTAATTGTATGTCTTGCCATTCTTTCAGGAGTCTGCTACCTTCTGTAAAATTGTAGCCCTGCAGAACTCTCTTATTTGCTTCCATAAATCCTGTTTTAAAGATGTACTTTTCTTCATATGAAGTTGATAGTTTGAGAAAGCTTTACAGTCTGGAATCCATTCTTTTTCTCACATACCAAAAGAAACTTTTTATTTCACATTCACAGTGTTATGGAATACTTATTTTACTGTTACAGTCTTATGTTGGTTTTTTAAACTATTTAACTTTTCAAGGAATCGATGTAATCTGGATTCTGCTGTATCTGTCTTCTCTGGTCTCACAGCAAGAGATTTGTCTGGACTGATAGAGATCTGACATCTGTGCAATTTTGTCCCTCTTTTTGTAGGGAATAGAGACAGAGAGGCCCATTTTACAAGTGGACAGATATGTATTTGCAGGAGAATATGAAGGTATGAAAAATGATGTGGATACAATCTCTCCTTTTTTATGTGACCCAAAGAACTTTCTTAACATCAGTTAATTGCACTGTGAATGGAGAACATGGGCCTGTGAGGTGCTGAAGTTCTGAGTGGTGTTTGTATAGCACCATATAGAGCAGCACCAGTCTGAGTTCATTGCTAAATGAGCCGTGTGTCCATGTTACTTGCTGGAAAGCATGCCTGCAGGCTGACTCCAAAGTGCTCCACCCGGTATTTCTGCAGGGAAAAATATGGGACATAAAATGCCTTTAAACTAGGTGCTTGTTGTCTCCTGTATAAGCAGGACTGACATGTTGTGCACTCTGTAGTTTTCCCATTTGCCTTACAGCGTTGTGACAACATTGGTCTGGAAGAAAATTATGTGGAGTCCTCCTTTGCAGTGACATTCAATGACCATGATACACCTGTCTGTCCCTGAGTTGGCAGTGGTTACTAATGCTGGGCCCTTGCGAGGGCCTGGAAGTCAGAACAGAGCAGTGCCAGTGGGTGCGGTATCTGCAGCTGATAGAAATTAGTCTCTAAGATTTTCTCATTTTGTTTTCCATAGATACCTTGGGAACCTGTGTGGTTTTTGAAGAAAGCACAGAGCACGGTAATTGGTGTGATTTGATGTCCTGTTTGTTGTGGTAGCCTGGAAGGTTAAAAATGATGCTTAGCTTGTTTCAGTTGATAATGGAATTCACTACAATGATTGGGTTTTGGGTATTGTTTTTTCTCCTCTCTTCATAGTAGATGCGGAAGGCAACCAAAAAGTACAGCTGAAATACAAGTGCCACACAATGAAGAAGTTGAACATGACACGGACGCTTTTGACAGAGAAGAAGGAAGGAGAAGAGAACGTTGGTTAGTGCCTCTGCTCTTATGCATAAGCACATGGATGGATTATGCTTAGGAGTGTCAGCCTTGATTAAGTGTTTGATTCAAGAGCATGCAGGAAGTTAGAAAAACTTTCTTCTTTAGGCAACAAGTGTGTATATTTAAATAGAAAAATACAAAACACGCACAAAAAGAGGGATTCCTTCTGACCAGTGCTGCCTCCAGAAGTGGCTGGTAGGAGATTCCTATAGAATAGTGTAAGAACAGGGCAAACATATGTTGACATTCCCTGGTGTGTTTTTCTGTCATCTAAAAGTTTTGGCACCAGTTCTGAAGTCAGAGGTGCTTTTTAGTAGTTCTTCACTGATTTTTTTTTTAATTATTTTTATTTTTTTTTTTACTTCCATCAATTTCTCTAATGACTTTTTGAGTCTCTGTAACTGTTGAAAATCTATAATAGCCTTAGTAAGAAGTTCCGTGTTGTATGTACTACAGCTGAATTGTTCTTAATGAATTTATAGTTAACTGTAAATGAGTTTAACTTACTTGCAAAGACACACTGAGCAGAGCATTCATACTGATTTTCATTCTGTAGGCAGAACTCAGTGCTCATATTTTTGCTTTATTTCAGTGGCATGTTTTCATATGGAAGTCAGTGCTTTTACATAGTCCGATACTGAGTATCCTACTGTGTGTAGTAGTATTTATTAGCAGTATTCTATTGCTTTTACTTACTTTTTTCATTCAAGCCTGTTACTGTTTCACATTTTAAGAATATGTAGGCATTTTACATTAAATATGGGCAGTTAAATGGACATTGGTCATAGGAGAATCTAATCAAACATCAGCATTCTTATCAACACCACGTACTATAACTAAATAGGTAATCTTATACAGAAACTATTATTTTTAAAGTACAATAGACTAGAGAGTGTGTTGCTTAATACAAAGGTCTGTTTGGTTCTGAAGGAGCAATAATGATGATACCTCCTGAAAACCACTTTGTTTCTGTACCCTGACAGAAGTTTAATGTTGTGCAGACAAAGTAACTACAAGATCTTACGGACTGGCAATATATACTGCCTAAAAATCTAAGTGGGAGAGGAATCCCACTTCTATTTGGAGTCTGTTTGATATGCGTTATAAGAGCTTGATATATTTGAGTTCAGGAAACGACACAAATTCTTATGCTATCTCTGATGTCATTCCCTATCACATTACCAGATGTTCTTAAGATTAGGTGAACAAAGATTTTATTCTCTTTATTGCATTTGTAAAATATTTTCTCAGCACTTAGACTCTAAGGGTGATGTCTGATACCTAAATACAACAGGAACTGCCATACCGGATCAGACCAAAGGTGCTTTAGTCCTGTATTGTATTTCAGACTATGGACAGTAGTAAATGGTACATGGAAAGCAGGAGGAGGACCTTTACATAAGTAATCCTTTCTTTTGGCTATCTTTCCAGTGCTCAGCAGTTCATGAATATTCTGACTAGAGTCTTCATCTGGACTACTATACCTGTAGTCCATAAAGGCTCTGTCATCGTCACTTTTTGAACCTGTCTATACTTTTGAGTTCTAGCACTACTGACTGTGGTAGTTAGTTATCTCGTCACATTTCTGTTGTATGGAAAAAAAGTACAGCTTTACTGTGGGTTTTCTTGATTGTTTGTTTGCCTTTGTGGTTGTTACAAATGTATGATGTAGTACTTCCAATGAGTGTGAGTTAGTTTGTTACTAGAGTTAGGAGATAAGTCAATCCCTACTTGTTTTCCCAGTACAGCCCTATAAACATCTGACCCCTCTGAGCTGTCTCTTCCAAGTAGAATTCTAGTCTCTGTCTGGTTTTGTTGCATTTTTGTGTGTGTTCTGTTGTTATTTTTGGTAGGGTTTCTTAAGTCTTTTCCCATGTAGAGCTAACTTTACTCTCACCGATTCTTGTTCCTTTTTTCTAGATTACAGTATGGGTTGAACAGGACAGAGTATTTATGACATGGATGTAGCATAGTTTTGTATCTTGATGTTCCCACTTTTTATTACTTTCCTAATAATTTTATATCCATTGTGGCTGCTCTTTAGAGACTGAGCTGGTGACATCGCTGAACCACACACAATGCCTCCAGCATCTGGATAAAAACCTGTAGCTATGTGTCTTGGTTAAGTTGGTTTAGCCTATGCATGTTGTTAATTTATCAACAGTTGAGTTTCTCTTAAGTTTCTTTATCAAATGCCTTTCTGTTATTCATAGCCTTATTTTTCAAGGAAAATTAATGGTTTAAGCCCCATTGTGAGACTCACAACAAAAAATGAGTGTTGGTCCAAATTCTTGAAAGACATCTTTCTCTCCTATGTGATTATTTTACTTAAATGTTGGTCAGGCTCAGCCTTAATAACAGTGAACTTAAACTAAGGAAAAACCGCTGGTAACTCTTAACTCCTTTTGTCACCAGTATCAATTATCCTTCTTTGCATCAGGTGGAGTGGAGTGGTTACAGATCAAGGACAGAGATTTTTCCTACAGCAGGCCTAATACGATTTGCAGCTTTCTGCGTGAAAAAGAAGATTCTGAGGAGTCAGCTCAGGCCCAGGATAAACTGACTGAAGAGTCAGAGGGAGAGGTGAGTGGCGGAGGAAATTCTGACGTGAATTGTGACCTGGAGAAGCAGCACGGCTTGGAAATAGATGCCTCTCTCCCTCTGCCTGACAGCCCTGCTTCTGAGGCAGAGGATTCTCCTTCTGGAAGTGTTGCCTTAGATGATGCCCCTCCATGATATCAGCTCTGATCTTTTCAGGATTTCTATATGGAGTTAATGGGCCAACTTTTAAATGCCAACTTCTATAGGCCATGATGTGATTTCCAATTTACCTGACCAATTAATAGTGGGGAAAAAATGGACATTGTGTTCTTGTGCATTGCTTTTACGTTTGGATTATAGCAGGGAGGGCTGCAGTGTTTTTTTATAAATGCTGATTGGAAATGTGTGTATCTCTGCCTCAAAATTGAATTATTTGAATAATTTAAAAAACCCTACCTTAGAAAAATGTTGATGTATTGTACAGTCTGGGACATTTTGTAAAAAGAAAAAGAAAAAAAAATCAAAAATCATTGTTTAAAATAAAATTCTGAATTTTTCAAGTATAGCTTCACCTTGTGTGTCATTCAGTGCATACTATGACTGTTCTTGTCCTGCCATTATTGAACAGAAAATTCAAGTGTGGCTTTTATTTCTTGTTTGATTACTCATCAGATTGCTTAGTTTGGATTTTCTCTAACATTTTGTCCCCTTGACAGATTGTAGAAATCCTTCATGTGGGAAGGGACTTCAGGAGGTTTCTTGTCCAGCTTCCTACTTAAAATAAGGTCAACACTGAATTCAGGCCAAGTTGCTCAGGGCTTTGTCAAGACTTGAAAGGCCCCGTGGACTAGTCAGCAACTGAAATCTAGGTCTTAATGAGGCATCTGTCACTTTCCCTTCCCTGGTTTCCTATATTTTTCTATATAATGTGTGTGATACAAAAGGAAGTCGTTGTCATTCCCCCCCCAGTAACTTCTTGGCTCTGATCTCCTCTGGCATTTCTCTGAACGTTTTTATGCCTAAGATCCTGGAACAGTGCATCAATGGTTCCCAGACTGATACATATGAGTGCATTGTGGTCCCTAGCTAGTCTGTGGGTTATTACATACTGCTTCATCATTTATATTGTCACATAGTATTTCCTATAAAAGTTGAGTATGTGGTGCATTCATGATAACGTTTTTAAAAGCACAGCATTTTTTTAAACAGAAAACATTTTTTTCCTGACCTTTCTTCTTTCCTGTCTTTCTCTGCCTCCCTCAAAATAGTTTACTGCAACAATGCTGTGAGGATGGGAAAGCCTAATTAATTCCAGCATGATTATGTAATTAATTAGTAACGATAAGAGGAGAAGCTCACTGCCAGCATTGTTCACAGCACAGGATCGGTAAGGATAAATCATCAAAACAGTGCGAGTTTCAAGCCATCAATCCCACTGTTCAGTTTTTTTGTGTAGAAGGAACTTGAATCATGGAGGAAGGGGAGGCAGGGAGAGGAAGGTGAGGAAGAAGAGGGAACATGTTCTGTACACCGCCAGCCTGGGCATGTGTCCTGGTTTTCAGCTGGGATAGAGTTAATTTTCACAAGAAGCTGGGAGAGGACATAGCCGGGATAACTGACCCAAACTAGCCAAAGGGGTGTTCCATACTGTCTGATGTTATGCTTAGCATAAAAAGGGGGCTGGCTGGGGATTCTCCTCCCCGTCCCACCAGCGGGGCCGTGTGAGCAAGTGGCATGACAATCTGGATCTTTCACCTGCTAGTAGTGTCTGTGTTTCAGGTTTGAGGGACACTGCTCAGCCTATGTATGTCATAAACTGTGATCACCTTTGTAATAATGGGCTTTAGATTTTAAATGTTATTTCTACTGCTCAAACTTTTGTTTCTACTATTATTAGCCCTAATTTTTGCAACCATACTCTTTACCCATCTTTTTCCCTGATTCCAGTCCTGCTGATAGCAAATTCTGCAGCTTTACTGATTTCACCCAAAAAACACCCAACAAGTTGGTTAGTTCAAGTACAGTTCAAAATTGGTGTGCAGGGAGAAGAATCTTTGGAGAAGATTCAGAGACACCTGACTTACGGAAGCTGAGCGTACCACGTGAAGTGTTTAGCTTACAGGAAGGCCAGGAGATGGGTATAGTCAGAATTAGATGTAGGCAGACAGGGGATATTTTTCTGGTTTAGGTCTTCAGATCTCGCTGGGTATTTTGGCTTTCTTGTACCTTCAGTTTTCAAGTCACAATCAAACACGAACTTGGGGAACAAATGCAACAACCTGAAGAAATTAGAACAACTCTGACCAACTGACTAACGGCCTCCACCAGTTTAAAAGTGATGTTACCAAACATTAAGGATTTTTGGCAGAAATACATCTTTGGCATTTGGTTTTTATTATGTATAAGGCCGTGTTCCCCAGTCATAATTGCATCGGTCTTTCCAGGTAAGTAAATTTGGGGGGAACTTGGGCTCAAACTGGCATGTTTTAGCTGTACAACTTAGTGATAATGTGCTTCCCAGCACACCAGGGATGAGAGGAGGGTAAGCAAAAAGGTTAAGTCAGAGACAAGTTGATCAGCTACTGCTGCGCTTATCTACAGTTGGGTAACTGCATCATTATTTGTGTATTAATTAATTTGCACCCGCTACTGAGCAGGGACTCGTCATTTATGTGTGGGAAAGCAGCGTGTAACTCAAATACGAAAGGTGCAGGAGCACAGCAACGCCCGCTGCGTGTCCCTAAACGGGAAGAGTTACTTCAAACGCCGGAGAAGTGCGTAGCGCCGCCCGCACCTGACGCGCGCACCAACAACGCCCGGCAAGGAAAGCAAAACGCCCTCACAGGTGGCGGCACCCCAACGCGTGGCCCTTGGGGGCGGAGCTTGCCCCGCGCATGCTCACTGCCCGAACCCGAGCGCTTTCTGGCGCCCGCCTTGCCGGCGCCCTTTTCCCGCGACGGATGTGATGTACCGGATGATGTTGCCTGACGGTGGCGGGGCGCG